TTCTCCCTTCCCACCTTCATTTCATACTCCTCCCGGGTGTCGATGGTATCACAGCGCAGGTCCTGCTTCAAGTCCACGTCGTCCTTGAAGGACTGCAGAGCAGCAGGAGTGGGCATGAGGAGTCCGGCTCTTACCCCCCACGCACCCCATCCCCACCCCCAGAGGCCATCCTTAATGGGAAAGGCCGGGGTCCTGGGTGGGCTTGAGGCTGGTACCCTCGCCCAGCGAAGACTTGAGATGTGGTGGGAAGAAGCCAGAGACCTGGGCTCTAGCACAGTTCTGTCACTAATGCACAACGTGACCAGGGCTCGCTCGATGCCCCTCTCAGGGATCCAGCCATGAGGCAGTTGGAAGTGAAAAATTCTAGGGGTTTCAATTCTGACACTGCAGGGAAAGGAGGGGGCAAAGGAAGTCTAGGTGGGGCCCCCCTGCCTAGCCTCTGCTGGCAAGAAATCCGCCTGGAGGGTGTGTGAGCATGTGTGCATGTGTGTGAGCATGTATGAGCATGTGTGCATATGCGTGTGTGTGGACCAAGGCCAGCTGACCGAGGGAGGAGCGAGGGACAGTGGTTATTAGAGAACTGGGGGGGGGGGGCAGTCCCAGGAGTGTGACGAGGGAGTGGGCCAGGGCAGGGCAGGGCAGGCCCCTTACTGAGTAGATGGCTTTCATGACGCGGGTGGCTGTGGAGACGCTGGCGGTGTCGTCCTCCCGGTCAGAGTGCATGGTGAGTGGCTCACGGTTCACCGTCTCCACCTTGATGTCCAGTTTCCTTAGGGTCACGTCCTTGCGACCTGGGACAGGGGAGACGGCCTGGATGCTCGCTGCCAGCCTCGCAGGGGTGATTTCTGGACCCACCTTGACTGGGAAGTGCAACTGCCACACCCCGGGCCCCTCCGCAAGGCCCTGCCTCTGGAGGCCTGGGGTGGGTGGGGAGGGCCTGGCCCACGGGCCATACTCACTGCCTTTTCGACGCCGGTAGAGGAAGAACACCAAGGCCACGAAGGAGAAGGTGAGCAGGATGCCAGCACCGATGGTGGCTCCGGCGATGATGCCCACAGGCAGCACCTCTTCAGGTGAGAAAGGAAAGGAGGGGGTAAGGACGGAGCCTCACCTCCCTGGGGCTGAGCTCAGTGCTGGCTGAGGACCAGGCTGGCCACAGCCGCAGGCTCCCTGGATTGTGCTCGGGATTTTGGAGGAAGGCCTGCAGTGTGTTTGGGTTTGGGCCAGAGCTTAAGCTTGAGCAGAGTGGAGGGCATGGTGATACCTTATCCCAGCTGCTGGGGCATCCCCTCCACCCTGGCCTTGCTGGTCCGTCTGTCCCTCTCCTGTCCCACCTTCCTATGAGCCTTGGTCTCTCCCTGCTGGCTGGGCTGTTTGAGGTCAGCTGTCTCCAAACTCTCCCATCTGCCACGTGTGTTCCGCCCTCCTTCACCACCTCAGCATCGGGAAGGCCCCCTCTGCACCCACCCACCAGAACTCCAACAGCCCGCCTTGGTTCCCTGCCCCCCAGAGCTGAGAAGCACCTGGGACTCTGATTCCAGCTTTCTCTCCCCTCCCGGAAGTCCTGGGTGGGTCAAGGCCCCTCCCCACAGAGCCTGGCCTGCTGAGCTCTGCCTTACTCTCCACTCTCTTCCTCCACCACCTCCTAGCTGACACCTTCAGCTGAGAACTGATGGATCCCGTTATTCCCATCTCCCATGTCAAATGGCTATATGTGTGTGTGTGTGTGTGTGTGTGTGTGTATACACTGAGTGGCCAGATTACTATGACCACCCCATCAGTACTTCGTTGGGCCACTTTTGCCTTCAATAGTACGGCGATTCTTCTCGGCATTGACTCCACGAGATGTTGAAAGGTGATGCGAGGAATCGGACACCATGCCTGATGAATAGCACTGTCCAGTTCTGTGAGATTTGATGGTTGTGGAACCAGCTGCCTGATGGCTCTTTTAACTTTGTCCCACAAATGCTCAATTGGATGGAGATCTGGTGATTGTGGGGGCCACCTAAGCAAGGTAAAGTCTCCCTCATGTTCTTGAAACCACTCCTGCATAATATGAGCATCGTGGCATGACGCCTTGTCTTGTTGGAAGAAGCGCCATCTCCATTGGGATACGCCATCAACATGATAGGATGAACTTGATCAGCAACGATACTTAGGTATGTTGTGCTATTCAGACGTTTATAATGATCTGGCCCTCTAGCAACTTCAGCAGGAAATTATAGCTAATTTGCCTACAAATGTCAGGTGGTCATAATAATCTGGCCACTCAGTGTGAGTGTGTATATGTATATGCCTTTCTCCCTCTTCAGACATAAAAACTTCCAAAAAAGTCAAAGGTAATGCCTGTTGTTGTTGTTGTTGTTGTTGTTATACAAGAAGTGCCTCGGGGGAGGGAACGTGTCTACCATCAGACTAAGGATCCTTGAGGAGGTGGGGAACCAGAATTCCCTGGGCATCTGTCCTATGCCAGGTATTTTATAAATATTCTGTCCTGTAATCCTCACACCAACCCAGTGAGGTAGGCTGTTCCCTTTCACAGATTACTTGGCATTCCTCCAGCTGAAGTCATTTGCTGCCACCGTGTAAGTTCCTCCACTAACGTTCCTGAGGGCAGGGACCACGTGCACATTGGTCCCTGCAGCCCTAGCCCGGGGCCTGGCATATAACAGATGCACAGCACACGTTTCAAAAAGTAAGTGGCTTTCCCCCGCTGAGCAATAGGCCAGGTTCCAGTGGGGAGGCCCACGCCAGTGATCTCCCTCTGAGCCCCGCCCCGGGAGAGAGGAGGGAGCGGGACCCCAGGCTGTCCTGCACCCCAGCCACCAGCCAGCACCGCAGTCACCTCGCTCCTCCAGCTGGATGATGGCGGTGCCCGGCCCGAAGCTGTTCCAGGCAGTGCAGTTGTAGTGGGTCTGAAAGTCGGCCTCCATGACGTTGTTGATGGTGAGTGTGGACAGCACCCCGCTGCCGGAGTTGGTCCTCTCCACCGTGTAGCGTTCCAGGGTCCCCACCTCCAGGAAGTTCTCCTTCCAGGCCCACGCCTGTGGGGAGGGCAGGGGGGTAAGAGAGGGGCAGGAGGTCGGAACACCTCACCCTTCCTCAAGGCGCGTGCCCTGTGTGCCACACCGCCCAGCCCAACACACCCTGCAACAAGCCTAAGTCACTCTGACACCCACTGCCTCAGACCTTGGCATTGAACCTCCAGCCCAGTGGCTCCCACACATGACTGAGACGTACGCCAGAGACATTCAGACATATCTAGGGACGTTCTTTAAAATGCCCATTCCTGGGACTTATCTCCTAAATAGGAACCTTTTTTTTTTTTTAACCCTCACCCAGGAATATCTTTATTGATTTTTAGAGAGGGAGGGAGAGAGAAACATTGGTGTGAGAGAGAAACTTCGATCAGCTGCCTCCCATATGTGTCCCTACCAGGGATCAAACCCGTAAACTCTTGGTGTTCGGGCCAATGCTCCACCCGATGGAGCCACCCAGCAAGGGCGGAATCGGTGTTTTTATAAGGATCCCATGCGATATATGTGACGTGGGTGCACCATTTGGGGACCCCTGATGTTGTAGAAAAAGCCCTGGGTGGGGGAGTCAAGAACACGGTGCTCCCTGCGAGTCCCCGTGTGGCCTCCCTTCTCTCTCCGCTGTTTCCTCACCTGTGACGTGAGCGGACCAGACTGGACAACAGGTATCTTCCACATAAGCCGGTCCTTCAATCGTACCCTAACCCAGAGCCAGCCCCGCGCAAACCTGCCGCTGCCTCGGGACACCCAGCCACAGACGCTCATAAAGAGCTCTCACAGGAGAGGGGGTCCCAGGCTCCTTCACCCCTGGGCTCCCGGAGGGCAGTCCCCGTGTGTCCCCTCCCCCCGAGGGGAGCGTGAGGGGTGATGCTGGCCGAGAACTGGCTCCTGTCCAGGATCAGCTGTCCCCGCTCGGAAGCAAAGCCCCCGGGAGCGGGGCCACTCCTGGTTCGGCAGCCGTGGTAATGAAGTGTCCCTGGGCAGCCCTGCAGGCAGCCAAATGGTTATTAAATGTGATGAGGGGTTTGACGGTTAATGGCCACGGAAGAAATTAATGGCTCATGGTGTGGGGAAGAGGAGAGAGGAGGGGGATGGTGCGGGAGCCGGTGGAGAGGAAGGAGAAGGGAGGGGAGTGGCTGTGGGACGGGGTGGGAAGGAGAGCCGCTGGACAGGGCTGAGGGGAGAGGCAGAGGAGGGAGCAAGGAAAGATCAGGAGGACAGGAAGGAGATGAGGGAGGAGAGCAAGAGTGGCTCAGTGGTTCAGCATCGACCTATGAACCAGAAGGTTATAGGTTCGATCCTGGTCAGGGCACATGCCGGTTGCAGGCTGGATTCCTAGTGTGGGGTAGGCAGGAGGCAACCGATCAATGATTCTCTCTCATCATTGATGTTTCTATCTCCTTCTCCCTTTCTGAAATCAATTAAAAAAATTTTAAAAAAGAGTGGTACCTGGGAAACTGACCATGAACCTCGAGAGGGCGCCCCCGGCCTTCCACCCCTGCTGTCCTGCTGTCCTGTTACTTGTCACGCGCCCCATGTTAGGGTGACACTGAGGTTCAAACACTAAGCAATTTGCTCAGGGTCACACAAGTCAGAGAGGTGGTGGGACAGAGCAAGGAAAGGGACAGAGGGAATTAAAGTTGGAGGATTAGAAGTAGAGAGAAGTAGGAGCAGAGACAGAGCGGGAGGAGACCGAGCCGGAACAGAGAGCAGGTGCTGACTGCCCCACGCCCTGTGCGTCCCAGCACTCACAATGCGGTCTGGAGGAGGTGTGCTCCCGATGAAACACTCCACCTTGCCGCCGTCTCCCCTGACAGCGTACTGCACCGCCTCGCTGGAGATAATGGGGGGCCCTGCAAGCAGAAGACGCAGTCAGGGTGGGCTGGAACCCCCAGCACCTGCCCCCCGGGCCCAGTCCCTCGCGTGGCCACTCACCGTTCACATAGAGTGGCACCTCCCGCTCGGCCACTCCGATGCGGGGCACGATGGCCCGGCAGGTGTAGGTGCCGGCGTCCGCCTGGGTCACCGACTTCAGCAGCAGCTGGTTGCTGTTACTCAGCACCTGGGCAGAGAGAGCAGCCTCGGGTGGGGAGCCAGGAGGCCTGGGCCCCTAGGTCCGGGGGCCCCGCATTGGATGTATCGGAGAGAAAGCAGGAAGGGCCACAGTGAGTTCCCAGAAGGGAAGCAGGGTCAGGAGTCTGTCTGGTCCCTCCCCTGGCTCTAAACAGGTTGGCATTTAAACACACCAGCGCTGCATGGGCGGACAGAGGAGGTGGGCCAGAGGGCGATGAGGTCACAGGATGCGTCTCTCCGATGATCTGCTCTAGTGACAACTTCACCCTGAGGTCCCTCTTCTGCCCCAACTGCTCAGTGCCGGTCTCTGGAGGGCTGTGAATTTAGCCTTTCCCTCTCTCGTGACCTCTCCAGCCCCCCACCTTCCGATGCAACCTTCACCACATCCTTTGCCAGCCCAGCGCCTCCCCTCAGGCCCTCCCCCTCTTCCCACACACGCCAGCAGGCCCCTCCCAGGGCCCCTGAACCGGACAGTTGTTCTTGGAGGAGGGTTGATCGCAAGCACTGTCCTTGTCCTCTAAGTCCCAAGACCTCAGAAATAGCCCAAGTTCAACTTGAAAATAAATGCTGCCCCTCCCTAGCTAGCTCTTTCCTCCCAGCACCCGGGAGAGGCAGCAAGGGGCTTACCATGTTGGAGTCCTTTTTGGTCCAGGTGAGGGTGAGGGGGGGATTCCCAACCCAGACACAGGTGAGCGTCACATCAGAGCCAATGTCTGTAGTCGTAGGTTTAGGGTCAACCACAATCCGGGGGGCGACTGAGGTAGAGGGCAGCGGGTCATTAGGGTCTCAGTGCCATGGGGTCAGCTCCAATCAGCCTCCTCCTCCTTCTCCCGTCCTGCTACCCCCACCCCCTCGTTTCTTCCCCGTCTCCTCAGCCTCATGGAGCCTCCCCACTCCATCCAGGCCCTTTATAGGCCCCTCCCTCCGCCCCAGGTCCCACCCTTGCCCTCTGCCCCCGCCCCTGTACATGCAGCTACTCACAGTGGACATTCACTAAAGTGCTGACATTGGTGCTGCCCACTTTGTTGTAAACCTCACAGGACACAGGCTCCGTGAAGAAGGAATAGTCAACATTTGTCTCATAGTGACTCTCATGGGCATCTTCAATGGAGAAGCCGCCCTTGGCCCATCTGGGGGAAGAGGCAACACGGGGGGTGGGGGTGGGAGTGGGGTTAGGGCTTGGAGCCTCTCACCACCCCCAGGGGCACTGCCCTCCCCAGAGTGCCCCACGCCCTGCTCCTCACACCTGTAGCCCAGGATCTCAGGGTTGGCTGTGGCCTGGCACGTAAAGACAACACGCTCGCCCTCCTGTACCGTCTGTGGCTCGATGGACAGGGTCACGGTGGGAGGGTCTGCAAAGCAGGGGGCAGGAAGTCAGGGTCTTTTCTGTGCCGCAGGTTTCCTTTTCTCTCCCTGGCACATCCACTCGGGCACCGTGTGCAGATCTGGGAGTCTGCGTGTGCAGTGTGCCAGCTCCAATAAATAAACCTGTCTTCTTCATCTTCACCCACATCCCCCATGGACTCTAGGGGGCCATCTCTAGAGTGATGATCAAGGATGATACCAAAGGGACAAATCAGTCAATGGTGTAAAGGCCAGTGGTGGCCACTAGATGTCAGTGTGGGCTCCCCTGGCTCATTAGAAGGGCTGGGGGCGGGGCATTTCTCCAACTGCTGCCCAGATCCAACCCTACCTGGGGCAGAGGTCATTTATGGAGCACATACCAGCTGGCGGACTCCATGCTAGAAGCTCTGACACTCTATCTCATTTAATGCTCACCACCCTGAGAAGCAGGTACAGGCCCACATTCCTTATCTGAAACCACTGAAACCATGTGTTTCACAGAATTTGGAATTTTTCAAATCTTAGAAAGGAAATAGTGTGCCTGGGCTGTTTACCATGCAAGACCTCCAGCAGGGTCCGGGCCACACCCATGGCCACATACAGTAATCCCTCTGCAGCGAAACGTACGACTATTCAGATTAAGACTACAAAGAGCCTCGGTTCAGGTTTTGCCACCAAATCTCTGTTATTTTGGAATTTGGGATAAGGAGTTGTAGGCCTGCATTTTATTTCCTGCAGGTACACAGAATTGGAAACTGAGGCACAGAGAGATTAAATCATTGCCCAAAGCCACACTCTGATTTAGACCCGGGAAGGGCTCGACTCATCGCTGATGCCTCTTCACCAGTCCTCAGCGCCCCTGGGTCAAACCAGGGAACCCTCACAGATGCAGACAGTGAGCCTGTCCTGGGCCCCTGGAGGATTCTGCTGACTTCTCCGCGGTGCCCACATCTCCCCGCCCCCCCTCCCGGGGTCCCCCCAGCTCACGGTGCACATCAAGCTCAATGGAGGTCTCCCTGCCACTGGGGGCGGCCTCGTTCATGCTGCGGCAGGTGAAGACACGCCCGATGTCCAGGTCTGTGGGGTTGATGAGCAGCAGGCTGACGGTGGTCTCCCTCTTCCCGTCCTTCAGCAGCTCCTGGGGTGGGACCAGGCGGAAGGCAGGGTCAGGCTAAGGGCCCCTCCCTGCTCTCAGGGTGGCGGACTCAGAGCCGGACTCCGCTGGAGGGCGCTTTAACCTAAAGCTCAGCCCCGTCCCCAGACCCCACCTCTCCTTGGGTTTGGTTTTGTTTTTAATTAGTAGATTTTATTTTTCAGAAAAGTTTTAAGTTTAAAAGAGAAAAATTGAAAGAGAATGCCCATGTTCCCCCTTCCCTCACCCCCCAGTTTCCCTGTTATTAACATGACCCATTAGTGTGATCTGTGTGTTACAACCAATATTGACACGTTACCACTAACTCCCGTCCATAGTTTACATCAGAGCTCATTCTGTGGGCTGCCAACTTTGCCTCATGGTGTTGGTTGAGCCTGATTCCTGGAATTCTCTGAGTCCAGCTCAAGTCCCTCCTCTTCTGCTAAGTCTTCCTCAGCCACCTCAGGCCCCAGGACTCTCCCAGCCTGAACATGTCCTGCACGATACTCTGGGCGCGTTCTGCCCTGCCCTTAGGCACTGGGCCTGGGTTTTTCTGAGTTGCGTCTCTCCTGCTGGTCCGTAAACTCCTCGAGGGCAGGGAATGAGCTCACAGGCCCTAAGTCTCATACTTATCATACCGACGCTGTGGCTCAAAGGAGCCCTGGGGCTGTTCTCCTATCGCAGGCTGCCCAAGGCATGCCATGCTGTGAGCCAAAGTTACACACATCTCCCCTGGGTGCAGACTGTGGCTCCCTGTGCTGCCTGGCAGAGCCAGTGCTTTAATGAATGTAAAAGAGGGGGGTGGACGACAAGTGCCACTAACAAACCAGCTTGTTTGGTTGCCAAAATATTTCAAAACATGTAGCGCTGAAGGAGAAAGGGAACAGAGTCCTTGGTGGTGAAAGAGTCAAGCACCACGGAGGCCAAATTCTCATTTGTCAAATGGTGAAACTGAGGCCAAGGAGAAGTGAGCTGCCCAAGGCGTCAAGGGCGGAGCTAACCCAGCTCGCCCTGGGGCGGTCCTCACAGGCCCACAAGTGAGCATCTCTCTCCCACCCGGGGAGGTGTCTGTGCAGCTCCTAGTCAAGGGCTGGGTACACACGTTTGCCCACAGCTGGCAGAGGAGCTCGGAACAGGAGATCCCCGTGAACTCTGCCAGGTGATCCTGGGCAGGTCGCCTGCCGCCTTTCTCTGCCACAGGCTCATCTATGAAATGGATACAGCGATCCCTGCCTCCTCAGCCTCTGAGCCAACTAGAGGAGGGGAAGGAGGTCGAGGGCAGGGTGGGCAGAGCAATCTGACCTAGGTACAAACCCAGCTCTGCCGCATGCCAGCTGTGTGACCTGGGGCAAGTCTCTCAACCTCTCTGACCATCAGCTTCCTTGCTGTGAGTTGGAAATAACACTAACTCAGGAAACTCCTGTGAGGGTCAGAATCACGGTCCACAGAGAGCTTCGCTTCCACCGCGCCTGACACAGTGGGTGTTCCCTAACGTGGCTGTTCTGATTACCGTTCTTGGTCTCTGCTCAGGACTGAATGGCATCATGAACCTGGAAATTCATTTCTCTTCTCTGGGCCTCTTTTTCCCAATCATATAACAAGACGGTTGGTCCAGATGACCTTTAAGGCCCCTTCTCGATCTGCATCCGAGTCAGACTCAGGGAGGAAGGAAAGATGACCTGGGATGAGGCCCAGGAGGGGGTGGGGAGCATGCGGGGTCTCACCGTGCTGGCCACAGCGCCCTCCTGCTGCGTCCCATCCCGGAACCAGATGATGGTCGCCGCAGGCTTGGCGTTAAAGGCTCGGCATGTGAGGTTGTAGGGGATGCCTGCTTGCAGCAGCAGTACGGGGCCTCCATCGATCCTGGTGTCCTCAGGGGGGACTGTGGGAGAGAGCAGAGCAGTCGGTCCAGGGCCCAGCCCTGCCCTGATGGCCGAACCCCTGCCCTGGAGGCATCCCTCTCCTGGTATGTCCACCCTGGGGGAGGCAGTGCCACCGGCACCCCCTAAATGGAAGTCACATCTGTGCTTTCGTGTGGCTTCACCCAAGGCCCTCCACTGGCAGCTTCCTGCCCTCCTGCAGCCATTCTTTTACAGCCTGGACCGTGTTCTGATACTATATCCCACCATTCTCAAGGCTACAGACAGATGAGGGGAGTGGCCTCAAATTAGGAAAGGGCGGGGCTAGCTCAGGGTTTGAGTACAGCTCCTGGGGTG